GTACACATGACTCTGCTGTGTGGAATGATACCAGCACATAATTGTACTATGTGCTGTCCACCAGCATCATTTTAACTGCATTTTTTTTTGTAAAATCTAGTTTTTGACGACAATTATCAAAAAATAATAATGGCATGCATATATCAATATACATATACATAATATATATGTTTTATCATTACTTTTCCATTCTAGCTACCAGGTTACAGCCAACATCGGGGACTAGTAGTCCATCTACAAGGTTACGGCCGACCTCGGGGACTGGTAGTCAAGCAACAGTGTTACGGCCGACATTGGGGACTGACAGTCTAGCAACAATGTTACGACCGACCTCGGGGACTGGTAGTCCAGCAACAATGTTACGGCCGACCTCGGGGACTGGTAGTCCAGCAACAATGTTAAGACCGACATCGGAGACTGATAGTCCAGCTACAAGGTTACGGCCGACATCGGGGACTGACAGTCCAGCAACAATGTTACGGCCGACATAAGGGACTGGTAGTCAAGCAACAATGTTAAGACCGACATCGGAGACTGATAGTCCAGCTACAAGGTTACGGCCGACCTCGGGGACTGGTAGTCAAGCAACAATGCTAAGACCGACATCGGGGACTGACAGTCTAGCAACAATGTTAAGACCGACATCGGGGACTGGTAGTCCAGCTACAATGTTACGGCCGACCTCGGGGACTGACAGTCCAGCAACAATGTTAAGGCCGACATCGGAGACTGATAGTCCAGCTACAAGGTTACGGCCGACCTCGGGGACTGGTAGTCCAGCAACAATGTTACGGCCGACCTCGGGGACTGGTAGTGCAGCAACAATGTTAAGACCGACATCGGAGACTGATAGTCCAGCTACAAGGTTACGGCCGACATCGGGGTCTGACAGTCCAGCAACAATGTTAAAGCCTACCTCGGGGACTGACAGTCCAGCAACAATGTTACGGCCGACCTCGGGGACTGGTAGTCCAGCTACAAGGTTACAACCAACCTCGGGGACTGATAGTCCAGCAACAATCTTAAGGCCGACATCGGAGACTGATAGTCCAGCTACAAGGTTACGGCCAACCTCGGGGACTGACAGTCCAGCAACAATGTTACGGCCGACATCGGGGACTAGTAGTCCAGCTTTAAGTACAATCAACCTTGGGGACTGGTAGTCCAGCTACCAGGTTACAGTCAACATCGGGGACTGTTAGTCCAGCTTTAAGTACAATCAACCTTTGGGAACTGATACGCCCTCTATCCCTAAAAATACGAACTGAGAACGCACCTGGTTGTTTATTTTTTGAGGATGAAGCATATAACATGCCCGGGCCTTTTGTGTTTGTAGGCTTCTCAGGCGAACAACAGAACAACATGCCTGTAGTCCGATATATTGTAGCTTAGAATATTTGGATTTCGAACTTTTCGGTCCCTAGGATCGCCGATATGTTCTAGAGGGACGAACACCTGTATGATGCAGTGCAATATATTTTGGCATACTGTATCTATTACCAAAATGTAAAGGCGCAATCACGTGAGTGTTACTTTCATCAACAAATCAGCGACAACTTTCGTAAAATATTGAGTAATATACAGGGTGAACCTAACTGCATCACACCTATGTTTGATTTAGAAATCGCACATATCTTAAGATATTTATGATAAAATCGTCAGACAGGCTGTTTGTTTGTTTGTAGTTTAACGAGCTCGCAACAGCTAGGGTCATAAAGTGCCTATAGAGATACCGCCGGGTTCAGCCTATGGAGATACCGCCGGGGTTATATAAGAACGGGTGCCAATGTAGATACCGCAGTAAAGAGAATGTAGGTCAATAAGACTGACGACAGGAAAAATAGAGAGAGAGAGAATGAGACAGATACAAAGTGGTGTAGTGGGGCAGCAGACCATTAATTATTTAGTAAACGACCCTGAAAAAAACCGTTGAATCTAGAGGGGACCCTACAAGGTCGCATTTTACGATACACATGTAGACAGCAGGTCCATTGTTTTGTCAATGTCCCGTAAACAAACGTAAAGGAAGTTATCCCCCGAATTGCGGATTCGAGGGGGCACTTTAGACGACTCGTAAGATGTTTGTTACTACAGGCCCATGTTTAGTCGCAATCACAATAACAAAGTAAGCTGTGTCTTAAGTTCATTATTCATTTATATGTTATAGGAATCAACTGGCAATTGTAAAACGGGATACAAAATAGAATATGACCTGTTCCTAGAGAGGCCATAAATAACAAACATGTGTGTCTTCCTTAAGATTATTTTAGTATAATCAGTGTTCAGTTTCTGTTCAAAACAAACTTAGCCATTATCATTCATACCAAACTGATGAATCTTATTTCTAATAATTTAGTAGTATATCTCACAAGTACATGCTTTCGCTTTGTCTAAATGAACATCCGTTTCCAAAAAAACACCGAGATAACTTTGTAAAGAGATTACAAAAATACTGTTTCTTTACTTTCTTTATGATTCCAGGAAATATTCGACAGTATTTTATGACTAGGTGGTATTAATGGCTCAATACAGGCTCGGTGTTGACCACTTTTATTACCGGTTTACGAACAGCAAAAGAGCACTTCAGATTGAACATAATCATGTATAGTCTCAAGTTTGTCGTATATTGTCGATTTCTACAAACATATATTATCAGATATTTCATTTTCATGTCCAGGGAACAAGTATATACCGAATACACGGTAAACTGTTCAATAGCCCATTAATGTAATGATACAGACGATACCCACACATAGCGAATTAACGGTGGATAAAACCCAGTACTACCTCAAAAATGATTGATTAGCCATGGAGTGTTTTCACAACAGTAGTTCTCTAACCGTTTTGTTTTATTTCAGACAATAAGGCAGTTTTGTTCTGTCTCTACAGTACTTAAAAGATAGGTTTGCATTACCATTTCGGTATTTTTGAAGCATCTCGGCCATGTTCTGTTTGTTGTTAACCATCAAATATGGCAAAACAGCATGCATATCTAAATAAGTTTCATTGCCTTTGATTTTATTTAAAATACCACCCTAACGAGCTATAACTAATCTGTGAAATGAACTTTCTTTATGTGGTATTCGATGGGTCTACATTCAAACGAGGCTACACACATTGAATACAAGCATTATCTGAATCTCAAGTTTCCTTACCGATATGCTGAATGCATGCACAATCTGAGCATCAGAACTGAAAGCGACACTATGATTGTACAGGCCGACATCGAAAAAGTGCAGAAATGGAAAAGAGGGATAAATTAATTTATCTTTGAAACAAATGAAGAAATACATATCATTTGCAAGAGACAATAATCAACGTTTTATATGTGACCCCTGGATGCAACACCGTTGGAGGTTTCAGAAGGCCGAATAACTGAGGAATTAAGTTCGATGGAAAGCTCACTTGCCGTTTTCCTATCAATCTCATGAGAGGGAAAGCAAACCACGCCACTGATGTCCTCCGAATGTATATCCCGAGCTGCCACAAGAACAACAGGGAACCATTCTAAAAACTACATTTCTTGTTCGTCACTAAGTATGATACCTGTCTTTCACAGGACTACTCCTACAAGACCTACATCGCAAAGATAAACTCATCATCTAGGCGAAATTAATAGCGTTTCCGCCTGCGACTTAAATACGGTCAAATATATAGAGGTACTTTTACTTCCATCTGATATACACTGTATCACTATCGAAATTTCTACGTCAGGAAGTCCTCTAGAACACAGATGTGACCGACTTGTATATGCTGCATCCATTGTAGCAATAATAATTGTTTCCCTCTTTTACCTGTTCTTTACAGTCGTTGTAGGTCAACAAATGTCTTTCTTTATTCAACGCATTTCTGGGAGGTTTCATTCCCCGGTGACCCTGAATATCGCAGTGGTCTATGTTTGTACGGTTTTGATTTTGTTAATTCATAGCAAAATGGTTGCAACATAAGAGGATTTAGATAATCATATTTATCCTTCCAGATAATATGAGTGTATTTAAAATGTTTTACATAAACCACAACAGTCTTAATAAGGTATTTATTCAGGTCTTTGCGAAAATTAGTATTCACGTTTAATTTGTTATGAATGGTTAATGGATATTTGATAATATTAAGAATATGAATTATTAAACATCTTGTTTTTCTGTTAGATTTAATCCAGAATTGTTGACTATACTTTTACAAAAAAATATATTTCACAAACAGTAAGTTTATGTACTGAGAATGCAGGAACATTTTAATTCGTCCCTTTTCGCGAGATTAATATGCATTAAGTGCTAAAAATGTAGTCCGAAGTGTTAATGAAAATGAATAAGCCGTTAATTGATGTGTACATTGATCAGTTGCAATGCTCAGTTTACTTACTGTCAACCAGGAAGTGAATTTTTGTTTAGGTTAAAATTAATTCTGATAAATCTTAATGACTTCAACAAACACGTAAAACTAGGACATGTTTAAAAAGAATGTGGAAAGGACAAATATATATAAATCTCCTGTGCGCATTTCTTTTTCGAAGGGTATTTGAATACAGTAAGCGCATGCACTTTTATCAAAATGAAGCAACGTTTTCTAATATTAAACTTTTTTCAGCTGTATCCAAATTTCCGTATCTTGCAATTTGCTTCAGGTCTTTATGTGTTATTTTGAGTTTGATTTGGGGTACGGACTGTACGAATTGTTCCATGTATTGTAATGCTATACTGATACACATTGTTGTCGCTATTTTTAAAATAGACCTTTATGTCTTATGGGCTAATTTTTGTTGGCAATCCATTTCTGTCTAATAATCTGTTTCAAGTTTTACAAATATGTGTTGATGTGCACGAAAGTAGGTATGATGATAATACATTTTTAACTGTGTGGTTAGTTCAGCGAAAACTATTGTTCGTATGTGTGTGCAAACGTCTGTTTGTAACATAGTTCCTGTTTATCACAATTCAGCTGCACGTACATGTACCTTATCAATATGCATTGACACAACATAGTGAAATCTGCCTCACAAGTGCACACTCATGTTGTCAAGTGAAATATATGGGAAAATGCGATCTAATAAAGCTGCTGTGACATATTTATGATTTTGGAAGGTATAACAATATTTCTCTTTCTATCATCAACTGAAGTGACACATTTGAATGGTAGACGACTACGCATGCGCAGTATCTTTGCATATGTTTTGTTATGTAGTTAAGGTGTATCCTTAAACAAACCAATAGGAGCGGAGGCGGTACAACGTTTACGACGAAAGGGATGAACATTATATAAACGGCATTCTACTTCACAACTCAGTCAATTAAATTTACCCAACGGGCAACACAAATTATCATTAGTCTGTCGAAACCTAATGCTGAAGGTAAGAAATTTTTAGACTAATATACTTTAACCATTATGTATGACAAAGCATGTCTCTCCTTAGTTTCAAAGTACACTTTGGGAATCATGCTGCTTTCTTCTGGTTTCGTGTGTCATCAATTTCTGTTTTTTTTTGTTTTTTTTTTATAAATTTCGAATCTTAGTTCCGAGTTTGACCATGCGCGTTACAGCACATTATAAAAAAAACCGTGTAAGTAATAATGCGCGTCGGAAAAAGTAAAATCAGAGTAAATAAAAGCTTTACAGAGTTTATATTAATCCGGCGTAGATATTTCTTTATAATATAAATATATCCAAAATCATTAAGAAATAGTTTATCATTGTATCTAGCAACTATTTGTTTACGTCCTAAATCTATCGTTTTTTTTGCAGGTACATTTCTGAAGTCATAATGTTTATAGTGTACTCAGATGCAACCGCATGCTCTTGCATAACAGATAGAGAAAAACAAAAACCTATGTAAAAAGCGTTTGCTTTATTTTCAACTCTTTATTTACAACTATAAATCGACTCAATAAATTTACGAAGATCTGTACATAATAAAGCGGACAAAGGAAATAAAATGATCCAGAAAATAAATAATAACATAAAGAATATAGATCGAGTGTTATTCCCACCGTCGTGGAACAGGCGCATCCGGTTTCATAAGATTAAAAAAAACAACTAAACTTATGTGTTTTTTTCAGGGTTTTTTTTCAAATAAAATAAAAAAACGTGTGCCGAGGTATGGTTATTTTTGTACAGCATCTTGTGTAATCGTTTTGATCTACGGACATGTATGTTTCGTTTTTTCAAGTTTTCAGAAATATGATAATTTTCTTTATTGTAGATAATAAAACAATGTATGACTGAATCATTGGATTTTTGTACTAGGAATATGTTTTTAACCCCAAATCAATCACCGTTTCAAGTAGGTGGCACACAGTTGCATGAAGACGTCACCGGTTGCTTAGATACTGAACCGTGTTTTACAAGCTCATATTATCCTGTTCCTGACAGTAACGAAATACAATACAAACTAGGTTGATGGTCGATTCGAGGTGATAAATCTACCTGTAAACTGGCATTTTAACTCATTTGCGTTTAACAAACCAATACTCCATGTCGGCTACTGTTTACCTGCGTTGCAATAAAAGTTATTTTGTTAGTTCCGGTTTCGAGGTAACTTTCCTTCTTTGAACGTTGACAAGGTAACAGCATACAGTCGTAGGCGTGTGGACGAGGGGATATGATTGATCTGTCTGCTGTGTGTTTGTGTATAGACGATCAATCCTTGCTGGCCTCCACCTAATAAATAACCAGTTGGCCGATATTTTTGTCTTCTTATGTGTTATACTACTTACCTATGGTAATTCAAAGCCATTGTCAATTACAGAGTTACACAATGATAAATATCATTTTTCCTACGACCGTCTATCTTTACTACAAGATGATATGTTGTACACTGTTTATATTTGTAATGAGAGGGCGTTCATAAGCTTGGCCTGTTGCGCAATTTCCTTTGGTATCTACGATCTGAACAGGATTATATTGTAACATCGTTGCTGTTTATCAGTTTACAAATAAAGACATACACACATATATAATATTGAATCATCGTTACTTTTTATCAGTTTATAAATAAAGACATACACACATATATAATATTGAATCATCATTACTGTTTATCAGTTTATAAATAAACGCATACACATATATATAATATTGAATCATCGTTACTGTTGATCAGTTTACAAATAAAAACATGGACACATTTATATAAACACATACACACATATATAATATTGAATCATCGTTACTGTTGATCAGTTTACAAATAAAGACATACACACATATATAATATTGAATCATCGTTACTGTTTATCAGTTTATAAATAAACGCATACACATATATATAATATTGAATCATCGTTACTGTTGATCAGTTTACAAATAAAAACATAGACACAAATATAATCAACAACCCTATCTACATCATTATAAAACAAGGATGAGCGATGACAGTCTCTGTCGTCCTTTCCTTCGGTGTCATGTGTTTTCATGTTGTCTTTCCTTTTTTATGTTCGTCTTATATTATATTATTAGCTTCGATTCCGTTCTTAATTTATTACATCCTTTTTTTCTGAAATCTTCTTTTCTGTTCATTTTTTTTACAGATGGCAAATTGCAAACAGTCTGGCGTGCGTGTACATTTCCTATTGTATGTAACAGGTGAGTCATTCATTTTGGCATGAGTTAATGCATTTATTTATGATACCTGCGCAATAAGACCGCAGTGTGATCAATATCTCAACACATGCATTCTCCTATCCAATGTTAATCATTGTTATACATATAAATTAAATACCTTGTAATTAATTTACATGTATATATATTTATGAATTTGTACTTATATTCTTTATCTACAAGTGATATAAATAAGTTATTAATATTTTTGATGTCTGCATTTTAATTCTTATTTTGATATCTATAATTTGAAATCTTTTTTGAAAATCGTTTTGAAATGGAATAAAACGAATGTAAATAGTCTTTAGGCAGATAAAATAGATCCATACATACTGTAAATAGACCTATGTTAATCTAACTAAATGTTTGCCACATTGCGCTTTAAAATAAATATCGCATAGTATTTGTCATCCTGTTGTATTTAGTTAAAGAATAGAAATATATCATTCACTACGTGTGAACAAAGAATTGTTATATATCTATAAAGATGACGTGATATACAAAGCAAATACTGTTTGTCACTGTTCACGCCAGCGGAATGACATCATCGGTTCTAAACGTCAAGCAAATCTCGTTGTTTTGTGCATTGGTGATTTTTCTTAATTACTGTATAATTTTGATTTTATGACTTAATTCAAATTGCTTTTAATGTAATAATTACATCTTCAACGACAAAATATATATTTTATACTTTAACAATTTATTTATATACTTTATAGTGTTTTACGTAATAGTGCCAATCGTAGCTATGTCGAGTACCACTTCAGTGCCATCCGTCGGTACAACTAGCACTCCAGTGCCATCCGTTGGAACAACTAGCACTCCAGTGCCATCCGTCGGAACAACTAGCACTCCAGTGCCATCCGTGGGAACAACTAGCACTTCAGTGCCATCCGTCGGTACAACTAGCACTCCAGTGCCATCCGTCGGAACAACTAGCACTTCAGTGCCATCTGTCGGAACAACTAGCGTTTCAGTGCCATCCGTCGGAATAACTAGCACTCCAGTGCCATCCGTCGGAATAACTAGCACTCCAGTGCCATCCGTCGGTACAACTAGCACTCCAGTGCCATCCGTCGGAACAACTAGCACTCCAGTGCCATCCGTCGGAACAAATACCATTCCAACGTCAACTGTAATTACTGGTAATTCAACGGCGACCGATTCAACGAACACCACTTCATCGACGTCAGATTCAGGCATTCCCTCACTTGATAATGGTGCTTTTAAATTCGGAGGGGGGCTCTTCCTCAACAGCATCATCATTTCAGTCCTCGCTTTACTTTATATTGGATAGATCCTATAAATACCTACATTGGGACAATGTTGGTCCAGATTCACGAAGAGTACATTGCAAATCGAAATATTATGAAGAATGGTTTTTGATAATCTACCCGTTGATGTTTGTGTTTACAAGGTTAATGACATGCTATTCTGATAACAATGTGGTTAGCAAGGTATCCGTGGTTCGTACTGACGTCTACAACAAGTACATTCTCATTATTGAATAATCAATGATTGTGATATGCACGTGTGTTTCGTGAACTGATTCGTATTTTTGTCCGTTCCGTCAATGTCTTATGCAATATTATGTTTTATATCGAAGGCAAACATGCTTATTTTAAGTTATTTTCTTAAGGAGGTCACAAAAGGAGAAATATGAGACAAATGTGTATATTATATTGTCCTGTGATATTATATATATTTAAAACAAAATGCTTTGGTAGTGATGAGTATATTGTACCTTTGACTCGTGTGTACACGCCAGATTGGTGATGTACACGTTAGCTCTATTTATATATGTTATGTCATAAATCCGTCCAAAAGACTTAAAACGATAAAATAAGAAAATGTTACTTATATATTTTCATATAGAACTACCATATACGATGCAAACCTAATTGATATGTTGGTTTCTTCATGTGTTTAATAAAACAAAATATGTCTGATATGTAGTTCATTGCATGATATTTTTTTATGTGGACTGTTACAAATCAAGTTACAAAGAGTACCTAAAAGTGTAATCTTTTCGTAGCTTTGTGTCATGGAGTATATTGAGGTCATCAGTTATCACGTGTCCAGCTGGACCATAGTTGTATCAGGATGTAGAACAATCACGTGATGAAGAATCCATCAGTTTCATGACATTTACATCATTCCAGTCTATAGTACGAGTCTCTCGATACTAAGNATATCCAGATCTCCAGTTACTACTAGTCTAGTCGGACCAAAGTTATATGACGACGTACAGCGAGAGAAACGCTGAGGGAGGAGCTAGTCTAAGGTCATTTAAATTCGTCTGCTGTAGTGTTTCCTTACAACTTAAAAGCTTGGAAGCAATGGGCTTCGAATAGTTATCAGAAATGAGAGGGGTATTGACGGTGTTGGATTCGACTTAGGATGTAGGATTTGACCGATTAATTGCTGATGTTACTGTGATATACTGGATGTAAGTATCCAGACCTTCTTTCTACCTTTGGTGGTCAATCTCTTTAATGTTCTTACCATTGTGTGCAAATTAAGCTTTCACTATGTACCACAAAAATATTTAAACAGCCTATCAGTATTTCCGATTATTTTGTTATGGACACAGACTGCGATTTATTCATCAGTCCAGATTACAGATGCAATACAGGCAGTATTATGTTTATATTTCAACTGGAAATCAGTCTTAGAGTAACATAGATGGGTTTAGTAGAAACTGCCCAGGCCTTCGGACGGGTGAATCCTGAGACACAAACTCCTTAAGATGTTACGTAATACAGTGCATACACTGAGCGTAAATAACTCAGATGATATTTTCTGTATAAACGTATTAATTATTACTTCCCGAGATGACAATATCGAGGATGTCCGAAAGAGTATTGCATTTTTACAAAATAAAGATTATAGCAATATCAACAATAATCCTATAAAATACTTTTAGTAGGAATCAGGGAGCAAACTGACAGCTTATAAAGGTTATCTCCCTTGGTTCAGCATGTTTAAATGATATTATTGAACAAAACAATTAATACAAGAGAAGTGGGTTGACGAAGACCATTGACAAGTGTTATGGTCACCGTCATGATATCGATAATAAGATTTGTTTAGTGTCTCCGTGTAAATAAATACCTTTGTTCAAATTTTTGCCCAAGGTTTATCGAATCTAAGATGGAATGACAGTTTTGATAAAACTTCGGTAATCTTTTGTTGTTTCATTTTTTGGACCGTCACGTGAATAGAAATAAAAATAACTCCCCACAAAGTCAAAGTTTTGGTAATTCATTCGAGAAAATTATACATAGTACGTTAGGATAACGATGCAGGTTGTTAAAAATCACATCTTTTTCTTGCACAAACATATTTATCAAAATATAAAGTTGTATTCTAAATGCATTTAATCTGTTTTGTAATAAGGAATATTTCTATTTAAACATAAAACTTTTTTTCTTTCTTTTTAGAAATTACTAAAAAGAAGTATATTTCCCCTATAATTTAATCCTAATTTTCAGATGGCGAATTGTGGTCGTGCACACTACGGAGTACAATTTATTGTATTGCTTATAGATCAGTGAATTAATAAACATCCCTCTGTATTTATGTAACATAAGATAACACACTCTCAGGACTTAACCCTAGGACTTTGCCTTCTATGATTTATTCAGGCCGACACCTGTTTATTCAGTTCGCTTAAAGCCCCAAGAAGGCACAATTGTTCGTGGTATCATACATTGGAATTTATATTTATGCTGCTTTGGCACAAAGTAAAACAGTAAACTTCGTTCTGGGTCAAAAGACCCAAAACCTAAATGATTAGTAATATTAACGTGACAAAACGTGAACAAACAATACGACGTCACGTCTAACTCCCGGTTAGACTTTTAATGGCTAGGAGTTGACTATATCACCGTGAAACCATAGTAATAATATTTAATTCCATTAACATTACAATACCTAATAACTTTTGGACGAATATGAAATACTATTTGAAATCACAACGAAAATTGTCCTCAGCCATGCCACAGGATAATGTTGTTAAGTAAGAGAAAAGTTCTCACTAACTCACACTCCGGACCGTGGTGTTCCCCGCCTCGTGTAAAATGAAACGTCGTTATCAGTGTCAGTCAATTAAAGTAAAAGGACAAGGAAAATGTCTGTCCAGCTATTACAATGAAGTCGGCTATTACAATGAAGTCAGCTATTACAATGAAGTCGGCTATTACAATGAAGTCAGCCATTACAATGAAGTCGGCTATTACAATGAAGTCAGCTATTACAATGTAGTCAGTTATTACAATGAAGTCGGCTATTAAAATGAAGGCGGCTATTACAATGAAGTCGACAATGAAGACGACAATGAAGTCAGCTATTACAATGAAGTCGGCTATTACAATGAAGCCAGCTATTACAATGAAGTCGGCTATTACAATGAAGCCAGCTATTACAATGAAGTCGGCTATTACAATGAAGTCAGCCATTACAATGAAGTCAGCTATTACAATGAAGTCACTTATTACAATGAAGTCGGCTATTAAAATGAAGTCGGCTATTACAATGAAGTCGACAATGAAGTCGACAATGAAGTCAGCTATTACAATGAAGTCGGCAAGCAATATCATATTATTCCGTGTGCCGTGTTACACTATTCTTAGTTCCATTGCAATCTCAACATTCAAAATTGTTTCTTCAATATTAACAAAGATATTCGGACGTGCTTCCTCGGTGTGACGTCATTAACAAACACTATTGTCATGATTTCAAGGGGCATCACGCTGAAGTAACTTTTTGTTTTGTCTTTTTTTCAAATATTACATAAACATATCAAGTGAGACTCCTTATGGAAAATAACGATCGGATTTGGCTGAAATAGATTCATAAAAATGATTAAATCTAAGATAATCATCGGTATTTCTACCTGTCTGACCAACGTTTTGTTCAGGGATTTCCCTCTACTAGCGCATGCGCATAGCACACCATTTCTTTGTAAACAAAATGACTGGCCGTGTGAAGTAAGCGAAAGAAAAGTGTTGTACCGTGTCAGCTACTGCTTTGGTCTTGGAGAGTCTCCAAGGCAATATTGAACTGATCAACGATAAACTAGACGTGACTTTTGCTAGTCACGAGGATGTTAACAATAGTGTAAATGATATATGCAAGATTATAAATGATTGTTCTTTGCCATTTTGTGATGTGAGGGTAAACGCATCTATTAATGTAAATAGCCGTAAAAATGTAAATCACCAAACCGATAAACCATGGATTACAGAAAATTGTAAAACATTGTATAATAAATATAAGCGGTCATTGTCAGAATTTAATCATTGTAAATCTGATGATAACCATCACATATTGATCACTTCGAAACGTTCTTACAAGAAAATGGAGTTAAAGCTGAAACGTCAATACAAACGACACGAAGGTGACATGCTGGAAATGTTAAAAAAATCGAACCCCAAGAAGTTCCACAAACTATTTAAAAGCAAATCAAGCCAATGGGCAAATTCAAGTTTATCAAACGAAGATTTTTATACTTATTTTAAAAATCTAACAATGAGTAATAATAGTGATG